TCAGTGGGGTGAAAATCAAAAGTGCTTCGTTGAATTTTAAACATTTTAATCTTTGGTTAACAGTGCATGTATGATGTGGGCCATATACAGTACAATAAATTCATAATAATATAAACTTTTATAGCGATAAATCGACTGTATTATATAACTATGCATGGTTATTTTTCTCATAGGTATTATTTTTTATAATTTTTTTTTTTTTTTATAAATAAATGTATTTACAATCTGTAATATTGTAATGTAATAAAACAATGAGTAAATTTGAGATTTTTTTACAAGGATTAGAGGCTTGAGTGAAGGGCGCGTCCATTGACACTACTTCAAATCATATTATTTATATTAAAATATAATAAGCGTTTTACTGCACTCAACCACTATAGTATTAGGTCTATTTGATAAAGAATTAGGCAGGTACCTCAAAAAATAATGAATATGTAATTAACACCATAAAATGCGGTACTTATCAATGGATCAAGGTATTATCAATTTTATATAAACGTTAATATTCTTGAATTCCAATAATACAATTAAAATAATATGGTCMAAACGTTGAAGAATCACAGTACGATTTTTACCAATAAATTATTGTTCCTCAAACGTGCGCTTTAAAGCCATCATATTGTATTTGTGGAATAAAATAATTAATTTTTTAGAACATTGCGCCTATTCCTACCTATATTAGCTGATATATTATCGCCACATTGGTAGATCAATCTATCTATTTTCACACGTCGTCGCTGGTTGCTGGGGGGCTGTGGTGGCGGCAAAAAAATCTTTGAAAACCGGTTGGTCGAGAATCGAATTAAACACGCGCGTTTTGATAATCAACTGACGTGACGTTGTTATTGGACTATAGAATATTTATTATCCCTCGACGGCCGTRCACCGAGCCCCTTGGTCGATTGCACACCGTCAAAATAGTTATAGCCCCCGAATCTGCAGACAAAGCCGAGATTACGCGTGTGCAACTTATAACGTATGTCCTATATATATAGGCAGTAGGCACAGAAGCGATGTATAATACGGTACCTACCTATTATATAAATATACAAAATAATAATAATAATAACAACAACAACAACAACAACAACAACAGCAGCGATGTGTATCGACGGACCGGTGGTGGTCTGAACGACTGAACGTTTTGGGGTGTCAGTTTTTCTCGCTGAAATTGACTTTTAATTTGAAGCCRTCGGACCGTGAGGGATAAGCCTCTATATACCTACTCGGGTAACTCGGTGGGCTGCTCATCGTGTCACGAGACCTCTATATATACATATATGACTCGGAACGAGAAAATTGGATGTACGACGGACGATAATAAAAGACGAGTGAGAAAAAACAACATTTATTGTGTGGCGTGGAATTTAAATGACAATTTTCCGGTGAAAGCGCATCGTCAATGCTACGCGTGTTAACTGCTGCAGCCGCGGACGCGTACGTAWATTATATTATATACCTACAACATCACAAAACACACTCGAATGTGACCGGTGTACATTATTATAATCGTTATTATTATAATATTTTCGTATGGATAAAAGAAAAAAATTTAAATCCCTATATATACTCGAGCCGTTGAATGTAAAAAACGTGATTTATATAATCTATGTACAATGTATATATTATTATACCGCAATACAAATAATCTATACAAAGTGGTATAATACGATGGCAGGGTATAGGTATACCACAATAGTATATGTTAACTGTAAACTACACTGTAACTACTATTCTATAATACCACGAATACCAAAAAAAAAATAAATTAAAATTATCCGACTGAATAATTTAGTATATTATATATTATATGCGTTGAATTAATATTGTTTATCAAATATATATATAGTAATTCTCTTTGCCTCGTTAGTTTCACCATTTGGTTTATTTTAATACAGCAGCTACCTAGTAACAATAACCTAATGCTTAACCTACTGTGTTTTTAAGCAAAAAAAAAATTCTTTCACGGTGCGTTTTACATTGAAATATTGTATCGCGTCATTATATTCATACACTGATATTTGATACATCATYTAAAATCGATATCCTATTAAGATGTATTAATATTTTAATAGGTAATTTTAGTATACACTATACAGTATATTATTTATATATTTACTTAAAATATGTTTTTTTAAATCTGACAGAGGTATTTTATTGCCCACTTGTATTCGTTAAACTTAATTTAAAAAAATATTAATTTACCTATCTATTTATATATATATATATGTTATATACATATAGATTATCAGGATCTTTATTAAAATAGTTCAAKTTTTTCTTTTTATTATTGAGCTTTGACATTTTTAGAAGTTGACATTTATTGATCAAGTAGGTATACACGATTAACCGTAGAAGTTAATTGACATAAATATTTAGAARTCATTAATTGTTAAATAAAGATTAAACAACAATTATTTAATTGCATTACAAATAACAAATGGCTTATTGTATATTGGATTATAAGACATATGCATGTCGTAAAGAAAATGTAAAGAAATAAATAAGCGAAATTTAATATAATATAATTTATAATGTAGTAAGAAGCGTATGGTATTTCCGCAAATCGTTAGAATTTCATTGTAATTAGTTAATCTTCAATATTTTTAATCAACTAATCATAATACTTAGGGCCCGCTTTACAATAGTTAAACTAAGGTTAAATCGCGGAATTCGGCCGTTAAAATCAGTAGGTTAAATGTAACCGCGAGGTTAACTATGATTATAAAACAGGCCCTTAGACTACCATTATAATATTGTGTCCGGTGCAGTTCTTTCGTATGAATGCAAAATATTTCAGATGATAATACCTTCAAAAAACATGTTTTAAGTTACATTTTTTAATTCACAACGGAAAATAAGTAAATATTGTATGAGCACATCATCGACAGGCTGACTCAATGAATTTTTATTCACTGCAATGTATAAGTTGTTACACAAATGTAATTAGTTATTTCTGAATGTTACAAACTAACTCCATAAATTATTATTTTTTTTTTWAAATTATTAGTTTTGCTCGTGAATCATTGTATACACTTTGCGTTAAACAAAAGTTTCTGTAGGTAAACTCGTATACTTATACTCAATAGGCACTTATATATATTTGTATCAGCTGCAAAATTGAAAAATGTAATTTTTCTATTACTCGAATTGTTTTAAACTAACATTATACATTAACGTTATTTACTACCATTACTTGTAACTTACTTTAAGTTCCAGTTATTACAATGTACCATTGAACTGCCAATTGGTGTGAGTAAAAAAAAAAAA